TTCCTTCCAAAATTCCTTCCTTCCCTCCCTCCTTCCCCAGTCCTGCCTTCATTTATTTGGGGTTTTGCCCTCAGTGCCTCCCTCAGGCACAGCATCACCATGTTGGTCCCTGCCTTCACGGTGTTGAGGGTGTCCCTCAGTGAAGATTGGGCCAGAAAGCAGAAAAAAACCTTAAATATGATATTTTTGGTATCTATTATCCTCCTGTTGAAGCGGTGCTGAAGGGTGGGAGCTTCCTTCTCCTGTGCCGTGGTGTGGGAGAGCTCCTTTCCTTTTCCAGCTGGTGATTTTGCTGTGTTTTGTAATTTTGAAGTCCTGGCTGCGCCTCCTTTGTATTTAGGGGCAGTAGCCCTGGTCTGGGGTGTCCAGGAGGATCCTGTGGGCGGTTTCATCCTCCACATTTCTCTCAGGTTTGCAGGACTGATGTCCTGGCCCTGGTTAGTGGCTTTGGAGAGCGACACCCATGGAGATTTGTAAGGATTTCTAAATTCCCGTTCTGCTCTGGTGCTGAATTTGGGTCTCTTGCAGCTCAATGCCTTGCACTGGGTGTCCAGAGAGGCTGGGGCTGCCCCAGCCCTGGAAGTGTCCAAGGCTGGGACACTTGGAGCAGCCTGGGACAGTGGCAGGTGTCCCTGTCCTTGGCTTTCAGGTGCCTTCTCACCCAGTTCTGGAATTTTATAATTCCTTGGGAGGGCAGTGGCCTCCAGGGCTGGAGATGTGAGGCCACACTGGGCCATCAGCTGAAGCAGTTCCCTGCCRGGGCCTAGAGAATGTCTCTCTCACACGTTTGTGGTTTGGAAGTTGTTACAACAGCCCTGGTAACGGATTCTTGCCCCACATGTGTTTCAGCACATGAATTTTCCAGCTGAGTTTGCACTTTGAGCTGTTTCTCGTGGTGKGGAAGGTGGGGTRGGATGAGATGAGCTTTGAGGTCCCATCCAAGCCAACCCATTCTGGGGTTTGGAACTCTTGTTTCAGAACATTCTGCTCACTCTCTGTGAGCAGTTGTCAGGGCAGAGGCTCCCGGGGCTGGGGTGGCTGAGGATGGAACAGCCCTGAGCTCGGGTACCCTGGCACAGCTCAGCCACAGAACTGAGAGAAAGAGCTCCAGCTGYACAAAGGTGATCTTTGCCTCACCAAGGTGAGGTTTATGTCTCATTTAGTCCCACATGAGCCTGTCCTGAAGCACTCAAACCCTGGGTAAGCTTTTCTGTGGGTGTGCTGCTCTCTCCTGCTCGTCAGTGCTGCTCATTGGCCCCCGGGGAGGGACAGCCCCGCTGTTCAGGGACTTTGTGCAGCTGAAGAGTTCAGCAGAACCAAAAACTGCTGTGGTCAAACGTGCAGCTTGAAACCTCTCCTTGGCCGAGGTTCAGGCATTTGGGTTTTTTTGGTTTCTCCTTTGGTGAGCACTCGAGTGTGAGCAGGAGATGGATGCAGAGAGCTGGGGCAAAGCTTCTCTGCTATTCCCAGGCRTCCTTACTCCAGCTATTTGCTCAACTCCTGTGGGTGACCTCTCAGCATGATGTCAGCTCTGCTCTGATGAAATCTGCCCTGGCAGCATTTGGATTTGCTCAAACATTTTGCAAGTCTGTGCCTGGAAARTTTTCTTAGGGTTTTTGTTCTTGACCCTCTCCCCTTTTCTGTGAAAGTGCTCTCTCCAGGGAATGASATATCTGCAGCCCAGATCTTCCTTACCCTGTGCTGCCTCTGTGAACTTTCTTATTGCCATGGCTGGAGCCTTCCTCAAACCTCAGCAAAGCCAGGGAAAGAAATCCAAGCTGTTGGTCCTTCCACAGGTTTTGATCCAGCTTTTAGTGCATTAGGATGAGCAGGACAGGCCCCTGGCTCTCTTGCAACACCCAGGAATTACTTTTCAGCTCTTTCTGTTGCAATGCAAGGTGCTCTTTCTCTGATTTGTTTTTCAGTGTTTCTGGTTCTTCAGTCTAGAGCAGTTTCTAATTTTAAATGAGAGGAAACTCTTATTTGTATATGGGGCCAGGAAACAGCCTTTCATTTCTCCTTTGTGTCTCGGCTGCACATGAAAACCATTTGTCATCTATTCTTCTGCTGCACCAGAGGCTATTTTGGTTTTCATGGTCTTGATGTTGGTGAAAGAAACAAGTCAACAAGGAAAATGCAAGTGTGAATATATCCTCCTGCAATAGAAACCCACAACATTTCTAAGAGTTTGAGGGCTGCTTGCGTTTAGGGAAGATGCTCTGCCTTTGAAGCTCAGGGCGAGTTTATTTGCGCTGCATTCGAAGCTGATAAGGATATTGTGTGATATGATAAAGGGAAGCTTGATGTGGATTTAGCTCATAGATAAAGCAAGGAGGGGTGGAGTGGTTTTGGCTTGAAAAGGACGCATTTGAAAATGGGCTGGAGTGGGTTTATTTTTTGTGGGCTTGTACCACAATGTGTGGAGCACGTGGTGGGAATGTCACAAAGCCATCCCGAGGGGAGCTGCTGGCTGCTCATGGCCAGGAGCTCTGCCCCGTACACAGGTGGCATCAGGGCTGTAAAGGCACTCTGGCTGCTCCAGCTGCCACCCAGCTGGCCCTGGGCCTGCCCAAAGTGCTGCTGGAAGCCACGCTTGGCACCTTGTGGTGATTTCATGGGGAAATAGGATCCCAGTATTCCTCCCTTGGAATGCTGTTTGGATTATACAAGGTTAGGCGTAAAGCTGCAGTGGAGGGAAACATTTGATGGTGGAATTATCAAATTATTGTGGGGCTTTGAGTGACCTGATTGAGGGGGTGGCACCCTGCCTGTGGTGCAGGGGTTGRAATGAGGTGATTTTTAAAGTCCCTTCCCACCCAAACCAGCCTGGGATTCTGCAATTCCATTACAATTCCAGCACAGATGCAGTGCTGGCTGTGCTGCCTCAGGAGCCAAGGCCACTCGAGCAGCCCCTTSCACTCAGAGTGGTTTGTTTTCCTTGCTGATAGGGGAGATAAAGCTGTTGTTAATGGCAAGGCAGGGATGGAACCACTCTGGCCCCAGCGGAAGAAGTTTCTACAACTCTTGTGCTGAATTAGCATCCTTGGGCTGAAGGTATTCCCAGCCTTTGGGATGCTCCTGGAGCATTTGGGGGAGTGCTCCCGCCTTCACTGAGAAATGAATCACAGAAACTGGAATGGTTTGGGTTGGAAGGARCCTTAAGGATCATCTCGCCCCAACCCCCTGCCTTSCACCAGGCCAGRTYGCTTTAAGCCRTGTCCAGCCTGGCSTTGAACATTTCCARGGATCTTYTGGAGAGGAAAAAGCAGAGCTGGTGCTTCATGGGCATCAAGTCCCTGCAGCCTGGGCTGTGCTGGGGCTGTGCTGGTTTGGGCAGGAGAGCTGAGCCCTTGCAGCTGGAGGAACCCCTCGGGGTGCTGTGTCCCCACACAGAGCAGGGGGGATGCTCYYCCTGYRYCCCCACCCTCTGGCCCYGTGATCCTCCTCCCAGCCCAGCCAGGGTCCCACGGGGCCGCCTGCAGCCATGGCAAAGCCCCCCTGCTTTTCCCCATGTGTCCCCCTGCTCTGCCTG